AAAGTATGTATATATTTGCCATCACTCGCATTCTCAAGAATCTTTGCGAAAGTAAGCTGTCATTTAGCTAGCGCTCCCTACCGTGCCGGTTTGCTTCGTCTTCAAAAAAACAAAAACTGTACTGGTTTGCTGGTGAAGTTGGCTTGTCTGCAACAAGGAAATGGCCATGGTGATACAGCACTTCCCTCCCTAGTCGTCACAGATGCTTCAGTCAATCAATCAGCCTTTGCAAAAGATGGTAGCTTACACATTTTTACTGGGCTACGGGAAAAGTGGCCCATGTGTTTTAGTAGGCTGAGATGAATGGGCCCTGTGAATGCGAAGCAAGTCCAGATTTTTGGTCCACTATTGGGGGAGGGAAGCGACCGGTCCCAAACTGGCTACTGTTCTACCGGCCTTTTCCAGCTTATATGAACATTGCAAGGCCCAACTGCTACTGCATTCCAGGTCTTTTTTTCCCCCTCTCTCAATAGAATCAACTGAGTTTTTCATATTTCTAGCGTATATAAGAGTAGCGAGTTTCTGCTTACCTCTGCCTTTTTCTTGTGAGCAGGCAGAGTTTGGGCATGCATACCCATTCACTAAATCGATCAGGGCTGCAGTGGCGGAGCTGGGCTGGCCCAACGCCTAGGGCCACTCCATGGGCTCATTTTGGTAGATTAATTAAGCCTTTTTGGAACAATGTGCTATAGCGTAGATAAAATGGGCGACACCTAGGGCCGTGGCCATAGTGGCCTCGGCTTTCCTCCGCCCCTGCAGGGCAGCATCCACAACCGGTCAATGATCGAAGTGAGGCGTAGCAGGTTACTTGCACACTGTTTTGGAACGGCCATTGCACGTCAGGTAAGTTGGATTACCAACTGGTTGGTACGTACAGTAGCTAGCTTAGCTTAGGTGTTCTTGCCATCTTAGGCCCCGGAAGTACTGCTCGCAAATAAGGAAGAAAACCAACAAGAGCGTAACTGCTACGGGATCGGACTCGCCGCCAATAATTGAGTTCTCGCCATGCATGCTCATCAGGCGCGTGGGATTGATTCTGTCAGGCGGGCGCGGAGCGGAGCAACGAAAACGCAAGCAAGCGAAATGATGGAACGACATGGAGGGATTCCTGGTGATTCCATCAGAGATTTGACGAGACCAGCAGTCTGGTTGCTGGAGTGGGACTCGGGGGTCGGCGGGCCCCGGGCCAGCATCTCATCTGCGGCCGACGAGGCGACGAGCCGAGCCATGGCTTGGACGGGTGCATCCGTGCATGGGCGCCTTGCGCTAGCTAGCTGTATATATGGGCATGCAGCCTGGCCCAAAGCCCGCATTTTTGGCCCAGCCCGAGCATGGCCTCGCTCGGTGGCAAGCAGGCCCAGGCTAGCCCGGCCCGTAGGAGCAGGCCGTGCCTGGTCCGCTACTCAGGCACGACGGGCGGCATGGCCGGCACGACATTTATAAAAAGGCCCGGTGGCAGCCTGGTGATCTCCACGGCCTCCTAAGAGCCCACCCTATTCCCTAACCCTAAGCCCACTGCTAACTCATTTCACCCTCACCCCGGCCGCACTCCCTCTCGTGCTCACGGTTGTGACTCGCGAGTCGCTCGCTTTCACCTCCCGCTCGCGGCTCCGCACCACTGACCATCTCCTCCACGCCCTCCCTCATGCAGCCGCATAGCCCAAGACGGCTTCAAGCATGGCGGCGATAGCACACTAGCTTCCTGCGCGGCGGCTCCCATCCCTGTCCTAAGTCTCCTCTACGATGCCGCCAGGCTCCTAGGCGCCGCCGTCCTCCCTCCACGTAGGCATCCTCCATGGATTTGGTCTGGATCTGTCCTCTCCGACCTATCCTCGGCGGGAGGCAGTCTTCGCGCCCCCGCACCACCGGCCGGCGGCCGCCTCCTCGTCCACGCCCCCACGCGGGCGCACCACAGGCACCGGCCTTGTGGCGTCGAGCGTGTCGGCCTCAAGCGCCGACGGTGGCGCCCTCCTGGCCTCCCTTTTCCTCTCGGCTCTCTCTCTCTCTCTCTATCGGTAGTGGGCCACAGGCGGGGCCGCCCTGCTAGCCTGGCCGTGCTTTTCGGGCTGGCACGGCACGAAAGACGGTCTAGAGGACCGTGCAGGCCGCCCGCCCCGTGCCCATTTATAGCTAGTCTGCACGTGATGCTGACAGCAGTGGCACCGCACGGCACCCATGCATGCGCCCGGCTCGATCGAACCCGCGATTCGCGCCGAGCTCACCGACCATTTGAGGTACGCGATGAGTCGGTCGAGGCGGTCCCAATGGTGTATTGATGATGATTTCTATCCTCATTAAATGACTTGCCACGTAGGCAAAACGCTGACATGGCAACGTAATTAATGAAGAAAGAGAGCAAAAATCTTAGGGCAGTCCCAATGGTATATTGATGATGATTTCTATTCTCATTAAATGACTTGCCACGTAGGCAAAACGCTGACATAGCAACGTAATTAATGAAGAAAGAGAGCAAAAATCATAGAAATGGCTTCCTCATGAAGAAATTAGGTCTACTCTTGACCCAATGCACCAAGAAACCATGAAATCGCCATTGGGGAGAAACCACCAGTTTCTAGGGAGCTCGTGTCGCACTTCCATTGGAGGAAGAAGATATAGTTGGGAGAGAGAAAGAGAAAATAATTATTACTCATAGAAACCATGGGTTGGAAAATAATACTTTTTTTGGTGCGGTATCCTATGTTATAGAAACTACTGATTTCTTTCATTGGGACTGCCCTTAGAAATGGTTTCCTCATGAAGAAATCAGATCTTCTCTTGACCCAATGCACCAAGAAACCATGAAATCGCCATTGGGGAGAAACCACTAGTTTCTAGGGGGCTCGTGCCGCACTCCCATTGGAGGAAGAAGATAGAGTTGGGAGAGAGAAAGAGAAAATAATTATTACTCATAGAAACCATGAGTTAGAAAACAGTACTTTTTTGTGCGGTATCCTATGTTATAAAACCACTAGTTTCTTTTGTTGGGACAGCACTCAGTACCCTACCCTGCCTCGTAGGTCCCGCCATGCATGCGTAGGAGTATGTTTGTTTTACCGTTACCGTGCTTGGCTGCTTGCCTTCGTCTTTTTGCACTTGCACGGACCTTGCCCTAGTCTTATACTACAGTTAGCATTTTACTGCCTTTTTTTTGCATATATAATATCCTGGTGCCTGAACTTTTACTGTCTTAACACCTCCCCAAATGCTGCTGGGTAAGTAACGACAAATCTGCCATTAATCTCCTCGCTCGGAATCCATGAAATGGACATTTGAACTACTGTACCTCGCGAACAACCTAAATACTCGAGGTGTGGATTTGGTACTTTATAGACTAAATTTTAGGTCTAGATTCCAAAGAGGTGGCCTAACTAATTTTTAGTTTCCAACCCAACTAATAATAGCCATTAGTTCGTTAGCTGGCAATTGTGGACTAATATGGACTATATGAAAGGTGCACATTAGTCTGTCCATTGCTTGTAGTAATCCATGTATAGTACTGGACTATCTAAGTTTTAGTCCACCTAAACTTGTTTTGGGTGATCTAAATAGGGCCTAACAACATTGGACATTCTGTATAATATACGCATATATTTTCTCCATCACACAAAAGGAGTGCATATCACGCTTTTCGATGAGTAAAAAAACTTAAATATAATTAAATAAATATAAGAAGACTAATATTTATGGTACGAAACAAGTAAAATAGGATTAACCACATGTAGTTTATTTTTATAGTAAACCTATATACGAATGTTGATAATATTTTCTATAAATATGATCAAACTTAAAACTTCTAAGAAAATAATGTAATGTGCATTTTTTGTTTTGAACATAGGGGGAACTCAGATAGTCGGATCCATTTGGGGTGAGCTAACTTCATACGCACATCAACAGTAATATGCATGAACACAAAGGCCAGGTACGTACCGCATAAAATACCGCGAGAAAGAAAGGATACCTACGACAAGGCAGACGAGGCCACGTAGCATCAACCATATAGTAGTGTCTACTCCAGGGGTACTGTCTAGCTAGGGGTGCACGAAAGGACGACCTGATAAGGGAAGGCTTTAAGTCCCATCCGTACAGTTCGACATGGGATTCTTTGACCATTATATCCCGGTTATATTTCAGATGAAACACCATAGGAGTCTGCGTTCTGCATATAGGACTATAGGACACACACACGCACCATGCATGCATCTAGTATGAACAATGCCGGGTCGATTGTACCTGCATATATATATACAACCTGTTCGTTTGGCTGTGACTTGTCATAAATAATCGTAAATTTTCAATCAGAATAGTATTTTTCTCTCACATAAATCAGCCAATAATACTTCTTCACGAACCAGCAACAAAACGAACCAGCCAACCGAACATGCTGATAAAAGCTCCCTGACCAGTGGGTAGGCAGTGCAAGTTACAGCTGTTTGGTGGTTAACAGCGACTTATGCTGACGGTCACAGTACTTTGTTGTTCACTTTCTATATGTCACGCGATCTCTTTTGCAGTTTTGCTGTTTGCTCGTTATATATACCAGTCCATCACACGTGCCATCGTGTGCGCCGGCAAATCATCCGGTTAAAGCGCAGGTAAAAAATATGTTTAATACTTGCACGGAAACAATATTAGAAGTCTAATGTAGATACGTCATGCACAAAAACTTAAAGATGGGATCTCTTTTTAGATTTAATACGTTAAAACTATTCAGAATTCTAAACATGAAATGCTTGATGTGGTAGATCACATTTCCTAGCAAATACAGAGAAAGCAATGCAATAAACTATTTCAGGTCTTCACACTGCATGAGAAATATTCTAAAGCTTCAGTTTTCACACCGACCATCAACCATGAGTATTGATGTTTTTTTTTCTAGAGTCACATAGAGACTAGAAATTGGAAGAAGTGAGGAAATGCCATTTACCTTACCCAGTTAATAAGGCAATCAAGCTAATCCTAAAGAGAACCTGCATGCTTTTGATAAATAAAAAGAAGGATCCTCACTGATCAAATTGGCGAGCATTGATGCGAACAGCAATCCAATTACAAGGACAAAAGATGTGTTTGATGCCAGATTTCTTTACAAACCAACGCAAATTTTTTCCTGTTCCCCAAATAATCAATTAAGCTAATGCTATACACACACATAGCTTGATATGTAGTAGAAAGGACAGGTGAATAATTCAAACCGACCTTCTCGAAGAATGTGTCGATGGTTTTCCCAAAACTCAGGCCCTATGATATCAACATGCGCAGCTGTAACTTGCAATCTTGGTCTTTTTATGGGTTCCCCATAGTCATCAATCTTCACAGCTGTTTCTACCTACAGTTATACGCAATACATTATAAGAAAGATGTTGTCTTGCATGACAGCTAACATTTGCAGCATCACCTTCTCTCGGTAAACACTACATCCTTTGCGGAACATAGCTGGTTCATCATCATAGTTTATTTGGAATTGTTGAGCAAGCAGCTCATTCTTGTCTTTTGCAAATGTTCCCTAGAAAAACAAAACTTGAACTAAAACATTTATACCATTGTGATAGAAAGGTCACCAACTCAAGAAAATTTGTACTACCTTCAAAGCTAGCTGAAGCTCTTGTTCACTTTTTGCAGACTTCACCAACATCCAGAAGCAGGTATTGTACTGATTATTTATATGACCTGAAAGGCATAAACAAAGAATATGCATATCAGTGAACTAATCGAATTATTGTTCGATTCTGACACGTATATAGATCGCTCTTTTCTTTTTATGTTTGACAAGAAGGTTCATGCTTTCTACAACTTTGGTGGGTATGATGTGGTTTTCTTGTAGGACTTGAGGGCAAAAAAAAGTCGCGCAAATAAATATGAGGTCTCATTTGCTATACAAGAAAATTTGAATTGCAGTTCCAGTAGCTTACGCCGAGAGTCACATAGAGGAGAGGGAGTTTAGGGAAGGGGAGGGAGGAGGGGAGAGAGCGCACGCTGCAGTTTAGGGTTTGGCCCGTACCTAGGGTTTCGCCGAGCAAAGGAGCTCACGCTCCCTGACTGGAGAAGGCATTGAGGAGGCCGTGCGGAGGATGGGGGAGAGGAAGGACGCGACCGGGCCCCACCCACGCCGGCGCGGCGGCCGCAGGGGGCGGCGTTCCCCCGCGCTCACCGCCGCCTCGGGAGAGAAGGGGAGAGAGGGAGAGTAAGGGGAGGGAGGGCAGAGAAGGAGGAGGAGCAGGATGGGCGCCGCCACCGTGGACCGGTTGCAGCAGGCGGGCGGTGGAGACGGGGAGGGCTCGCGCTGGATCCGGCTGCTCGGCGCAGATCCACCGCCTCCGTTGGGTGCGCGAGGTCGACGCCGTGCTCCAGCCTCAGATCGGCCGCCTGGAGGGGCCCCGCGAGCGGCCGCTCCAGATCCACCGCCGAGGTTGCTGACGTGACCTTCCCGTCGTCATGCACGGCCAGCACGGAGGTTCCTCCGCTGCCAGAGGCCTCCGGCGCGTCAGGGCGTCCGCTGGCTGGCCGCACGGCCGTGGGGACGACCGACGATGGAGGGGCGAAACCCTAGTCCGCGTGACCCGCCGCGTTGCGTCGCGAGGAGGAAGTGGCGTGGTGGCGGTGGAGGAGGAGGAGGAGGAGGGAGGCCGCCGCCGCGCGGAGGGCGGGCCACCGCCGAGGCCGTCCCGCGCCGTCGCCTGAGCCGCGTCGCGAGCGGGGAGCGAGGGAGGGAGAGAGAGAGCGAGAGAGAGCGGAGAGGAGGAGGGCGTCAGGGCCAGTGAGAGCCGCCGAGGGCTTCATAGCGGGCGGGCGCAGGCTGTAGCGAGCGACGGAGGCAACACGGGCCGTCGATCGGAGAATCGGACGAGCAGAGGAGTTTCGGGCGACGTGGCCACCCTGGCTGGCGGCCAAAGCTCGCCGGCTTAATGATAGTAAATTCCTCTCTTGAGGCGCGCCGGAGCCCAACAAGGACATCTGATCTATAGGTCAAGATAGCACAGATCCTCAAGGCATTGCCGACTGGCTGGGGACGAGATGGGAACGGGATCATGTGCCTGAAGCCTGCATGCTGGCTGGCTAGCCGGTGGCTGCACGCCATGAACTGGGCTTTACTGATGAGAGCTAGCTAGATTTGACAGGACGAGCAGAAGACACGGTCTCCTCTCTCATCTGATGAGAGCTAGCTAGGGCCAGATCCGATGGACGCCGGTGTAGCTAGGCAGCTAGCTGGTGGGCCGGGGGACATACTCTAGCTAATTTGTGTCCCTCTCCCTCATCAAATACCGTTGTAGTGGGTATGGGTTAAATTTCAGCTTAATCTCGATTGTGTCTTGGTCTCTTGGAGTTTGAACGATCGATCTAGTAATTTTTTTCAGGCAAATATTTTGAATTGAAGCCTTTTTTTTGGGATTTTTTCGAATATATATCACTTGTTCAGTTATTATAGTTGGATAAGTTCATGGCTTCATGCGTTGGTGCAAAGTTCCAATCCGTATTTGTTAGTGATCTGATCTGATCCTACTCCAAAGTTTACTTTTACAAGCAATTAGAGAATCCTGTCAGATCTCAACTTTACACCTTGATTGGACATGCATCCTTCAAATCATGATAGTGTGTGCATTGTGTGGTTAACTTATGCTGGTACTTGTCACAAGATTGATATGGTTGAAGGCTGGGGAGAAGTTTTGGTTAACTGTTATCAGCATTGAATGCCTTTTTATTCTCTTATTAGCTACTACTCCGTATGCCACATAGTCTATTTGTTATAGTATACTCCATCCGGTCTAAAATAAGTGCACTTCGAGTATTTGAAATTTGTCTCATCAAAATATATAAATGCACTTCGGAGAGTTGGCCAGGGAGTTAGCGGGACTGTCATGTCCTCCTTTTGGGGACTTTTAACATACCCCTATATTAGACTCTCGTTAGGTGGGAACCAAAACCAACAATATTGTATGCCCTGACTCAAAATTAACATAAAGAACACTTAAGTCATTACCCCTTGAATTCGTGCCAAATTTATCACCAGACTCCATTCCTCCTCCTCCTCGTCCTCCTCCTCCTCTCTCTCTCTCTCTCTCTCTCTCTCTCTCTCTCTCATCTTGCTCGTGAAGCCCCTGATGCCCCTCCCATTCCTCCTCCACCTGTCCCTCCTAGGCTGACCATCCACTCGCGGTAGCTGTGAGGAGTGGCGGCAGGTCAAGATGTGGCAGCGGTTCCAGCGGGTGCAGGCGGATCTGGTGCACGGTCACCAGGGCAGGTGGATGCGGCTCTAGTGCGCATAGCGCTACTCGGTGTGGGGTAAGCTCTCTAGGCGCGAGCGGAGGAGCTTCTCGGTGCACAGGTGCGTCCCAAGCGTGGGGGGTGAGAGGCGGCGATGGGGGAGGCGGGGAGGGTAGGTGACAGCAACGAAAGATGCGCAGGCAACAACAACGGCTTACTCCAGATTGTTTTCTTTTCTTAAGGCACATCACTGCCATTTGTATCACCAATAGTGGTAGCCCCCCACCATCATTGCCAACTATGAACTGCTGGTTCCAAGGTCCGGCAGTGATAGGCCTCTAGAACCGGCAATGATAGGCTTTTAGAGTGATAGCGTTGAAAAGTTGGTTTCACTCAGTTGACGCCGAATAGAGATATGGATCACGCACCAGCAAGGTCTAGCGTGCCTGAGGTTGTAAACAACCTATATCGTAGCAAGAACGCATCGGATCGACGAAACCGGCCGATGAACCGGTTATGCCGATGTTGAGCCCGTTCTTCGCTCGGTAGACTCCCGAACACTTCCAAGGAGACGTGACGATCAGCATGGCCACCTAGAGCACGTGATGTTGAGCACGTTGTAGTGGGTATGGGTTAAATTTCAGCTTAATCTCGATTGTGTCTTGGTCTCTTGGAGTTTGATCGATCGATCTGGTAATTTTTTCAGGCAAATATTTTGAATTGAAGCCTTTTTTTGGGATTTTTTCGAATATATATCACTTGTTCAGTTATTATAGTTGGATAAGTTCATGGCTTCATGCGTTGGTGCAAAGTTCCAATCCGTATTTGTTAGTGATCTGATCTGATCCTACTGCAAAGTTTACTTTTACAAGCAATTAGAGCATCCTGTCAGATCTCAACTTTACACCTTGATTGGACATGCATCCTTCAAATCACGATAGTGTGTGCATTGTGTGGTTAACTTATGCTGGTACTTGTCACAAGATTGACATGGTCGAAGGCCGGGGAGAAATTTTGGTTAACTGTTATCAGCATTGAATGCCTTTTTATTCTCTTATTAACTACTACTCCGTATGCTACATAGTCTATTTGTTATAGTATACTCCATCCAGTCTAAAATAAGTGCACTTCGAGTATTTGAAATTTGTCTCATCAAAATATATAAATGCACATCGGAGAGTTGGGCAGGGAGTTAGTGGGACTGTCATGTCCTCCTTTTGGGGATTTTTAGCATACCCCTATGTTAGACTCTCGTTAGGTGGGAACCAAAACCAACAGTATTGTATGCCCTGACTCAAAATTAACATAAAGAACACTAAAGTCATTACCTCTTGAATTCGTGCCAAATTTATCTCCAGACTCCATTCTTCCTCCTCCTCCTCCTCCTCCTCCTCCTCCTCCTCTCTCTCTCTCTCTCTCTCTCTCTCTCTCTCATCTTGCTCGTGAAGCCCCTGATGCCCCTCCCATTCCTCCTCCACCTGTCCCTCCTAGGCTGACCATCCACTCGCGGTAGCTGTGAGGAGTGGCGGCAGGTCAAGATGTGGCGGCGGTTCCAGCGGGTGCAGGTAGATCTGGTGCATTGTCACCAGGGCAGGTGGATGCGGCTCTAGTGCGCATAGAGCTACTCGGTGTGGGGTAAGCTCTCTAGGCGCGAGCGAAGGAGCTTCTCGGTGCACAGGTGTTTCGAACAAAGGCCCCTACCTGGCGCGCCAACTGTTGGTGTTTCGAACAAACACCAGCTAGTAAATTTATAATTGTTGCGTGTTAGGCCCGGATGGTGCACTAAAGGACACGAAGTTTATAATGGTTCGGGCTGAACGTCCCTACGTCCAGTCTGCTGCTGCTCGTGTTATTAGTACCGAAAAAGGTTCATAGTAGGGGGTACAAACGGTCGAGAGAGGGACGGGTCCCAAGTCTCTGATGAAATGGTCGAAAGGTTGCTAAGAGCTTAGTCGCTGCTGAGCTGTGCGTGATATGTGTTGTTGAATCGTACCGATTGACCTCTTTATGAGTTGATCCGTCCCTTTAGCGGGGTTCCCTGCCCTTCCTTTTATAGACCAAGGGGGGGCAGGGCTTACATGTTGGAGAAAGGAGAAAAACCAGAGGTCAAGGAGCCCCTCTGAAGGTGCTGGGTCCTCCTTTTCCGCTGAGCCAGCCTCGCTGACACGGCCAGACGGTGTCAGGTATGGGCACGTTCGCGGGACGCCTGTGTGCTGACGACGCCACACCCTTACGATCGACAAGTGGTCACGTCCGTCCGCCCGGGCGACATGTCGGACAAGGGTGTTGACCTGTAGCCCTGTGGGGGCGGACGGCGCGGTGACTGTACATTCGTCACTGTAGAGGGCGCGAGTCTCTTCTTGGACCGTAGTGGTTGTCATATGTTTATGTCAGGTTCTGCGCCCGAGGGCTGAAGGCGGTGCCTACAACACTATTCGGACTCTGCCATGCCCGGAATATTCTAAAGCGCCCATCCCGTCGTACCCTGATGGTACTTTCCTGCAGCGGTGCAGGGCATGGCCCTTGGTGCTGCGTTTGACTCGAATGTCATGTCGTACCCTTTGCTCATCATTATGAAGGAGCAGGGTGTACTCGCCCGGCGAGACGGAGTCTGCTCTCGGCCGTCGGGCAAGGCGGAGCCTGTCCTCAGCCGTCGGGCGAGGCAGGACCTGCCCTCGGACATCGGGTGAGGCGGAGCCTGCCCCCGGGGGTCGAGCGAGGCGGAGCCAGACCTCGGGGGTCGGGCGAGGCGAAGCCCTCCCTCGGGGGTCGAGCGAGGCGGAGCCCGCCCTCGGACGTCGGGGAGGTGGAGCCAGCCCTTAGCCGTCAGGCGAGGTGGAGCCAGCCCTTGGGGGTCGGGCGAGGCGGAGCCAGCCCTGAGCCGTCGAGCGAGGCGGAGCCCGTCCTCGGACGTCGGGCGAGGTGGAGCCTAGCCCTCGGAGGTCGGGCGAGGCGAAACCAGTCTTCTGTCGTTTGGACAAGAAGCGTAGTAGCGTTCTCGTCTGATCGGAAGTGTCAACGTTTGATGGTCATTAGTTCCACCTTATTAGGTACCCCGATATTAGGTCCCCGACAGTTGTAAACAACCTATATCGTAGCAAGAACACATCAGATCGATGAAACCGGCTGATGAACCAGTTAGGCCGATGTTGAGCCCGTTCTTCGCTCGTTAGACTCCCGAACACCTCCAAGGAGACGTGACGATCAGCACGGCCACCTAGAGCACGTGATGTTGAGCATGTGGAGGGTGTCCTTGGATTGACAAGGCCACCTAGAACGCCACCAAATCTTGCAGGGAGACGTGTCGAACAGCAAGGTAGAGAGAAAGTATAGTAGGGCAAATGAGGGTATGCGTGGTGTTTTTTATGATTGGAAGTTGGGATCCTCAATCGATCGTGATCCTAGTAGGAAATAACTCTAAAACGTGTTCTTCAAGTTTCCCACGTCTAAAATAGATCTAAAACCGATTTGGAAACAAATCGGTTCGTACTAGTGCAGGCAAACCGGCCTGGCCGGTTTCCTCGGGCCTCCGTAAGGGGCCGCCCAAGGCAACGCCATCTTCTTCCTTTTTCCGTATTTTAACTTGGTGCTGTGAATTATATTGTCCCAGATATTTTTTGGCACGTTCTTGATGTCAGAAACTTGATGGTCTAACCCACATTTCACGTTGGCACATTTTGCGTGTCAACACACACTACGGGATACAGTCGTTTCGCCGAGTGCCAGGGGCACTCGGCAATGGCCCAAAAACACTCGGCAACTGCTTTGCCGAGTGTTTGTAACACTCGGCATACAACATACGGCATCTTTTTGTCGGCAAACAACTATTTGCCGAGTGCTTTTTGTCGAGCACTCGGCAAATATTTACACTCGACAAAATGAAAATGCGAAAAAACCCAAAAATAATAGCAAATTTTTTCAAATTTTTTTTTTCGAGGGAGGCCGCCACCAGCCAGCGCCCGCCCGTCTTCATCGAAGTTGGTGCATTTTTACGCTAAATTCGCGGCTAAAACGGCCGGTGGGATTCGAACTTACGACCTCTCCCTCGCGTGTCTGCTGCTCTACCGCTGTACTACACTGTCACTTATATCTAGATTCCGTTATCTATCCTCGTATATTATACTAAACCGAGAGTAAATTACTTGTTTGAGGCCCTAAACGAATTCAAATAAAAAAGTGGTCAACTACAAAGTTTCATAACTTTTCGAGATCTATAATTTTCATTTAGGATGTTTTTCCATCCGAGGTCGTTTGAAAAATTCGAATTTTAAATTTGAGAGATTCAAACATAGTTTTGCATGATAAGATGATTTCAAATCAAAAAGTTGTCAACTACATAATTTCATAACTTTTGGAGATCTACAATTTTAATTTAGGAAGTTTTTCCATCTGAGGTCTTTTAAAAAATTCAAATTTTTAAATTTTTAAATTCAAACGTCGTTTTTGCATGACAAGATGATTTCAAATCAAAATGTTGCCAACTACAAAATTTCATAACTTCTCAAGATCTATAAAGTTTATTTTGGTCATTTGTTCATCCGACATAGTGGTAGTAACATTGTTCACAAATCTTATATATCTCTTTTCTACTTTCATGAAACTAATATGAGAGATGTAGATTTTATGAACAACGTTATTGTCGCTTTGTCAAATGAAGAAATGACCAAAATAAACTTTGTAGATCTTGAGAAGTTATACAACTTTGTAGTTGAAAAGTTTTTCATTTAAATTCATTTATGGCCTCAAATATTGCTTTGAAAAACTGATTTGTCGAGGGCCAAAAAAAATGCACACGGCAAAATGCCTCTTTGCC